CCTCGCTTCCTTTCCTCTCCGCGCCCTCGCGGAGTCAAAGCGAAAAGAGGAGGAAATGAGAATCGCGAGGTCACGCGTCTTTTCGGCCTTGTGCGAGCGCGCTCTTCTTTTACAAAAATATGACGATTCGCTGGAGATACCGCTTTAGGAGCGACGTTTTGGGACTTGCAGCGTCCCGCCCATCGAGTCTTCGTCGTTTTCTGAGATTCGATTTTCGGTACTGCAAGTGTACGCCGTGGCGAACTCGAAAACTTCTCGCGCTCATCCCAGCGCGCCACTTGGAGGGCAGTTACTCCAGGAACCGTAATATATCTAAACAGCCAAAAAAAAAAAATGTATTATTTACAATCATTTTTTTTTTTATGCTGAAATTCTAAACTGTAAATATACGTACTTTCCGTCATATTTTTGTACTGTTCAGTCCTTTTCCCAGAGCGTAATCGCTCTCGGGGAGGAGACAACCGACAGTCACATTGGCCACTGTACGATATGAGCTACGGTTCAGACCAGCCTTCCAACATGACTAGCCGCACGTCGATCGATTGCACCTAATCTCTCAAATGGTCTTAAACACTTTAATGTAAAGCGGAATGTCAACCTACGACACCCCGCTCCCTCCGATAACGGCACGACCAGCGGCATCAATGCCCGACAGCTCATCTTGTTGTTACACCACTGATGTATACGCGAGCACGCGGTCACATCGGCGATAATTCCAGTATTCTGTTCACAACGCAAAACACTGCCATCGCTATGTTGCTGACACGCAGAAATACAGAAACATGTTGACTGCCGGTTGGCACTCGGAATCGGCAAACAGAACCGAACTGAGCAGAGAAGGCACCTAGGCATTCTGCAGCAAAACCTGCCTGTCTTGGACGCAGTTTCCGCAATTTCCATGACGTCGTCAACGTCGACACATCCACTGTGGACAAACCGTTCCGCGTGGTCCGCAGAGTTCCGCGTAGGTTCTGCAATCCGGAGATGGACTTCATAGTTCAGTGTGCGTAGCGCTGCTGGCACTGCTCCGGAACTTCGCTGTTTCAAGCGGCTTCGTTTGCTCGTTTGACAAAGTTAGTGGTAAAAACGTCAATGCAACCGAGATGTTCTGTACGTTTGGACTGGGAGACGGAATTACAGGCGGCCTTCGCTGCCGCTGAAGCTCAATCAACTCAACAACTTTTATTAAGCAACGTGTGCGACGTGCTCGAAAAACGAAGCCGAAAGATGAGTCGGGAGGGCGGAAACTTTCTCCCGTTTGTCTGGAGAAGGAGAAAAACGCCTCGTTCCTCTCTTCTTCTCCTGTCCGCTTGGGGGTGCGTCAGCAGAAGGGAGGAAGATGCACCGTTGCTACCTTTTTCCTCCATTTTTACAGCGGAGCTGTTAAAGGCTAGTTTCCAGTGGCGTACCAACTCGTTTTTTTTTAGGAGGGGGGGGAAGGGGGGGGGGGGGGGGGGGGGCAAACCAGACCTCCCCCCAGGAAAGGGGACGATGCCCTTGGTATCCTTTGGGCGCCGCCGGCCAGTGTTTGTCCTGCCCAGTGGCGGCTGTTTCAGGAAGGGGGGGGGGGGGGGGGGACAAGACACATGCCTCGCCCCCCCCCCCCACTCTGAGAACTGGGGGGGGGGGGGGGGGGCAAGCGCCCCCATTGCCCCCCCCCCCAACCCCCGTTTGGTACGCACATGCTAGTTTCCCCAGTTTCGTATCCGGTACCAAACAAATGTCGACACAAAACTACACAAAACTATTGACAGCTACCGCCATCTATGAGCAACGGCGGCAACCAGACAACCAGTCTGGTTGCCGCCGTCGCTCATAGATGTCGGTAACCTTTCCGGCTATCATATATAGAAGAATGGATAGTTGGACGAGTTGATGGAAATTCATCGTAGGAAACAGCGCGCAAAACAGACTGGACGAAGAAGAAACACACATGGGACGAGCATATAGCTTCGCTGGTCTTCCTTCTTCACCAGAGTGGGAAGGCTGAAAGTTTTTCTTAAAAGTGTGGGCGTACACGCTCGGCGGCCTGGCGATGTCAGGCGTTTTCAAACCCCCACAATTTAGCAGAAAGGCAATGAAGCAGAAGTACTATCTATTTTCGTCTCTTGGTGATTTAGTTACCTAATTTGCGAGGTGAGAAGAATTATGAAAAAAAAATGTTGGAATTGTAATTTAATTTTTGTGCATCATAAAAATGGAAAAGCGCAAAGGACAAGGACAAGACAGCACAAGCGCTTGCTTTCAACTGACGTTTTAATGGATTAGTAGTAAAAGACGAAGAGGAAGTGAGGTCTGTGTTAATTGAAAAAAAACATAAAGATGTAATAATCATTTAAAACATACATCCACGTAATATCTCACAACTAGAAAATGGTAGCAAACAAGTTTAACATCCAAGAAGTACTCTCTGTACCAGGCAATCTTAAAAGGCTTTGCCCTAAACTTTGCTCACAGAAGAAATCAACTGACCAATGCACAGTACAACATGCAAACAAATATGTCAATTGCAGCGTAGGTATCATATGAGATACCATTTACCTGTGGGAGAGTCTACATGTGCCAAACTAACAGGTGTGTTAACATCAGGTTAGTCGACACCGGCTGCACGCCTAGCTACACACGTGAGAGACTGCGAAAGCTCCTCAGTGTTTAGCCAAACTATAGTTCTCAAGTGATATTACAACCAGAACAGCAGAGAGATTTGTGAGGCCCACACCATCAAAGCTAAAAGGGATACGTGAATTATTGCATCGTCCATAGGGCTCTCTGACAAATAAATTAACTACCTCAACTTCTTTTCATGAAAAACGTTTCTTGAAGATATTTTAAGAGTGTCATGCAGCATTCATGCACTGTTTAATAAATGTGTTTAATAAATGTGATTTCCCAAAACTTCATCTTTCGCACTTTCTTTTAAATGATTATTACCAGTCTTTTAATTAGCGCAACCCTCACTCCCTCTTTGTCTCTCACTACTAATGCATGAAAATGTCAGTTGACAGCTACGTTTTTAGATTAAGGTCAGTTGCGAAAGAGCGCGGTCGCGCTATGGTACCGGAGCACGGCTTGCCGTAGCCGGCGAAGCGGTGGCGCTGCGGTTCCGATAGGATTAGAGTGCCTTCATACATACGCGCGCTTTTGCTTGAGTGGTGACAACTCAGCCATTTTTCCGCCCAATCGTTTTTTTTTTTTTTTTTTTTTTTTTTTTAATGCATTTTGAAGTGCGCGCACTCCGGTGTCACGCAGCTCGAGCGCGTAGCTTTGGCTAATACATAGACGCCATTTTACCGCCCAAGTCACACACCGAGTGCACGAGAGCGTCACGCGCTGGCACACTCAGGGCAACAATGGATGTCTTCACCCTGAGACAGACAGATATGTAATCACCCTAGATAGGATGGGTCCCTTGCGCGTCGTCTGCTAGCCTCCTGTCCTGAAAGGTGTTGGCACGCGGCCAACCAAGCCACCGCACTTGTAAACCAAATAATTACCGCTGAACAAGGTGTATTTAAAGAGAACATGCGCACCAAAGCAAAAAAGTAAAATGCTAAAATAAGGTGCAATGTTTTGTCGACACGAAGTGTTTTGGCTTTTTCTCTGGGGCACGCCTGGAAGCACCGGTCATGTAACGGAATTTTCTCCTCGCGCGTCCGGTTAGTAAACTAGGTCGCTGTTAAGGAACAATAGGGACTTTTAGCAAACCGTTACCGTGTTCCGCGTACCGGAATATCGGAGACTTCGAAGCATGCTTTTAAGCGCGCGCCCGGATGATACCGTGCCCGCGGGGCGCGTGCTTAAAACGCAACGGGACGCCAGCGCCGCCTCTTCGAAGCGCTACAAAATGGAGACGCCGCCTCCCAGACCTTTCCCACCTGACCCTAATCTATAAAATGTCTAAAAACGTGGGTTGATAGCATGCGCTTGTCCTGTCTTGCTCTACGTCTTGTCCTTGTCCTTTGCACTTTTCGATCTTTATGATGTCCAACTAGCCCAATGGTTAATTTTATTATAATTTTGGCAATTACTGAGGCTAGAAAGTAGTTAAATTAGAACTGCGATTCCTTTGAGTCTGAAGTAGTAAATTACAACACCAAATTACTCAAAAAAGTAATGAGATTGCTGCAATTGGGAATTACTACCGAAGTATGCAGTACGTTGTGACATGCATAGCCTGGACGCTCCGATTGGATCGTTGGGTGCATAGCTTTCACCGTTTGCCAAGTTTGGGTGAAACGGAGTATTTCTGTGGAGCATTCAGCGCACAACGCTGGTGCTGCTGAGACCTCTCGCGCTCATCGGCAGCAACTATCTATCCGTTCCACGGCGGCGAGAGTCAGCACATTTCGTTTCTGTTGGACATCATTGCGTTTCGATGATATCGAGTCACCGTTTTTGCCGATCACGGTCGCCTGACCCAAGTAGGCTTATTTTGAATTCTGGATCGCGTAGTCTGAAAAATATCGAGAAGGGCTCTCCAATTGAACTAAACCAATCAATACCAAGCAAAACTCTTAGCTGTTATCAGATGTGACTTGCTTTGTTACTCATAGAGGCAGTGTTGAGCACCGTGCGAGATGTTAAATTAGAGCGCGATATATCTGTTACGAGAGGAGAGAATGAAAAACAGAATTCAAAGATGGTGCATTATCGGCGGAATTCAAGATGTAGATATACGGAAGAAAAGGACACATATAAAAGAAAGAAGCCACGAAGAACGATGACAGTAACTTATTAAACTCAGCATCAACATACTTCGCACACGATTTATTAATTCACAATTGAAATCTGACCTGCCCCGTACCCTCGAAAGCCACAAACCACAAACTTCAACCTATTCATAAAAAAAAAAAATTAAAAAAAAACCTGTAATCGCGATTTAGTCGCGCACGCGCAAGTGGGGTGCTCACAAATCACAAATAGAAAAAATAAAAAAATAAAAACCTTAGTTTCCGGCCAAGCGTTTTACTTGGCGCACGCGATGTTAAAGCTGCACTCACCATCTGTTCCTCCTCGAAGTTCAGTGTTGGGGTGGGTATGGACTGACGGAACGACTCCGAATGAACCCGAAGGAAACCGAGGGCGTCAAAGAACTTCCAGCGGCCGGTGTACTCGAGCTCTCCGGACCTGCTTCGGACAGTCTTCTCCTTGAGCTCGTCATAGTACTGGCGCCTCTTGATACTGTACACATACTTGAGGTTATCTGCAAAGAACAGCCCGAATGGAGCGGTCCCTCTGAACGGCCCTCCGAGATTCCACGCTTTCAGCATACAATGGACGAGGATCTCTCGTCAATGTATCATGGTGAGAAAACCGGACACGCGTGATTCTTCACCGTGCGTTAAAGGGGCAATGCACAATTTTTGTACTTTCAGTAAATACCACTTAGATTTATTCCTTGACATTGCATAAAAAACACGCGTTAGTATTTTTTTTTTCTCCAAGCACTGGCAGTCGCAGAAGAAAAATATCGAGCAAGACAAGCAGCCTTCACGCCCTCAACTCGCAGCCAGAACAAGCGACCACGTGATCTGGAGCGATTATATGCCGCCAATGTTGATCATAGACATAAAGGTTGGCAAGGCACATGACACACGCTGAGATCCAGAGATTGTTAAAGTTCAGATATTTGCGCCATCGCAGAGATAGTGCACGAACCACTGACGCCCCAAAAGTCTTTTTTTTTTTTTTTTGTCTAAAACGACGCAAGCTGTAATCATAGACAAACAAAAAATATCACAACGCCAAAAAAAAAAAAAAAAAAATTCCCCACGCGCGCGCTTGCCTTTTCATTCTGGCGGTTTTCTCTCTCGCTTCTTGCCTCCTCGCTTCTTATTTGTGACGTCTGACATTATAAAATTTAGAAGCTTTGTAAGCGACATTTCTATAATATTTATTAACGGCATTCGTGAAACATGCTTTTTTAACGTAATTGCGAACGCACCACGGTCCCTCTTCTTGAGATACCGAAAATATGAGTCCGTATCGAGTCATGTCGCCTCCTGGCTTTTTATCCTCCCTCGGGAAACATGGCGGCGCTCGACACATGTAGCACTGAGGATGATCGGTGAGTCGGGGAGTCGGACGAAGTTGTTTTCTTTAGCTGCCCGACGACACCTCTCAGACTTCGAAAAGGAAATCGTCAAACGGTCAAAACAACTGGGTTTGGTGTCTGTGTACCGTAGTGTCGGTTGTGAGTCCGCCGGGGCAGCCTTTCACGCAGAACCGGCGCGACGTGGCCCCTCACATCGCTCACAAAAGTTCACTGCGCGTTCTTTTCCATCTCACAGCGTTTCAAAGAATTTGAGATCGCTGAAAGAGCCCTAAAATAACTTCAAATTCGAAAGTGAAGCGTCGTCTGGTCACAGCGATAGGCGGCACGCAAGCGATCGATCGCGGGACGTGGGCGAACACAACACTTCGGCTCGGTTCGGAGGCGTGAGAGAAACTCGAGTTGCACGACCAGTTGATATTTGACGTCGAACAATGCGATACCCAAAATTCGTCATCAAGTTTTGCGAAGGTAAGACTAAAAGAAAACGATCCTTTGAAATAATGCGGCTACAAAAAAGTTTCCTGGTCAGTGGCGTTACGTCAATTTGGTTACGTGCGAGAATACTTGGGTTCCACTAGTGCCAGTAAGCTTGTGTGATTTAGAAACCTTCCTGCTCAATATCGTTGCACGGCCACTTTAAAATTGCCACATTTGCGATGAGAAATAGAAAGAGTCCTGCCATTGTCCATGAGCTCAAATGGTCCCCTGGCTTTTGGACTTGGAGCGGTCGCTTTTGGTGACCACTGACAACTTCGACGCCCACTGCTGCAGTTCTGTTCTATTCCGAGGCAAGGACTCACCCGGTGTGAAAGGACCGAGCATCGGGAAGCGTTCCTGGAGGTAGGCGGCAAAGCGGGCCCAGAGACGACGCTTCAACAGCAGGTTCTTGAAGTGCTTGGAGTCGTTCTTCCAGAGACTCGGATTGCTCTCGATGAGGGCGAACAGCTCGGTCAGAGACTCGTCGCTGTGGACGGGCTTGGCCAAGACTCCCATAGCTTCGAGGGACCCCTCCACTTCGATTCCTGCATCGGTGGACTCCAGCGTGGGACACGGACGGCGTTTCTTGCGCATCGAAATGGGACCGACGGATCTCCGTGCCTTGGGCCTTTCGACGTGCGAATGAGGCCGCAGCTTGTCAGTTCGGACGGCCCGGTATTCACCCAGCGGGCTAATATCACGCTGCTTATCACCGCGGCCCGTCCGAATGACTTGGCGTTTTCTTCTCACTCATCCGGCTTCCCTCCTTTCTCGCCCGAACGTTTCGATTGTGGGTGACAAAGAATCTTACTTGTCGGGGAGGGGGTTCTGCTCGGAAAAAATTCAAAGCATCGACTCCATGTGGCCACGCAAAAAGAAAACAGAAGCAAGAAAGAAAAAAAAGATAACAGTGTGGTATTAAACACACGCCGAACCGATCAGAGAGGAAAAATGATACGTGTACGCTTGCTCCCTTCTCTCCATCTGGAGGTTAAAGGCTCCGTTTGCGCCAATACAGCCAATCCCGGGTAGAATGAAAAGATGGGTCAGTGGGGCCCATTACAGGAATACCAAAAGTGCCAGGGGGAAGATGACAAGAAGGAAGATTGTTTTTGTTTTCTTTCTTGTCCTGCTCCCTGACGCTTTAGCATTTCTGCAGTCCCGTGCCTCTAGACTAGCACGTAACTCATCTGTGGAAGAAAAAAAAAAAACGCGTTTAAGGGGCTCGAAGTCAATGTGAGCGGTTCCTATCTTTGGCTTCCAATCGGAGGTCAGAATGCGTAGGAATTGAGCCTTGGTTGAACGCTGCAGTATGTAGGATGCAGGATTTTGGCTGTGTAGTGACGATTTTATTTTACATGAAATACCGGACGTTCATGCGAAAAGAGAACTGTGTTTGTCGGTCCGTATAAATAAATTATGCTTCGCAGAAAGCTCAAACTTCGTGAGAATGTGATGATAGCAGTTCGGATAAAACGCGAAAGATTGAGAACAAGACGTTACTTAAGTAAAAAGATGACTGAGAAAACGAAATTTCTTTGTGAGCCGACGTGGCCACCCAAACCTAATTTCGTCAAAATAAGAACTGGGACTGTGGACACGTGTAACATTTTATCAGTAAAAAAAAAAAAAAAAAAATTGTCAGCAAGATATGGAATATTGTCTTCCTGACAGTTTTCTATGGACCAACTCATGTTTACAGATAAACCGGAGTGCCCCTAGCGGACGCCACCGGCGCCGCGCATGCGCGATGGAGTATGGGAAAGAAGCTCACCGTCGCCTATAAGCAAACCATTAAAATGTGATGTTGTAGGCGTCGGTCTCAGCCCCCGTGCTCGTTTTCGCTTCGGAATTGGTGATTCTACGTCTTCCTGGCAATGTCTGACTACATCAGTGGTCTCAGCGACCTTACCGAGGCTCGTTACACCGGAAAACTTTGCGTGAATAATGCGACATGCGGGGATTCATTCCGCGTGGACGCAGCAGAATCGACGCTAAAGCCTCATTTGCATGATGAGATTCCGCTCACAATTTTCGATCGCGACGTCGCTCGGGCTGCAAAAGCGTGAACCATGGTTAAGATGGCCGACGTCGATACTGAAATCGCAAGCAGAATCGGACCAAGTGAATCAGAAAGAACAAGTCGATGATGGCTACTGGTAACAATGATTCACCTCTCCTTGTATCTACCATTTACACTGAGCCTGCTTGCCCCAACCAACCTTCAAACTTAAAAGTCTTTTGAGGCCTGCACTTTACTTCTTATAGCAATTACCGGGCCGCCAACGTTCGGTCTACGGGCCGGTGTCGTCTGAAAGGGCAGACGACAGTGGGGAGGCGCAGCAAATTTTGGGGGAGGCATTTGCTTTCGATTCGTTGACTGTCACAATTAAAATTAAAACATAATTCCGAGGACACCTACGCAATTCTTATGAGTTGTGAAATCGAAAGCATGAATGCCGTTCTTCCGCTCCCTTAGTTCGCCCTCGACGTATTGGCGTGGACGGCCACGTTTCGCTACTGCCGAAGGCGGCCGACGGCCGAGCGCGCGCTCTCGTGAAGTGGCCGCGCCGCGCTGAGCTCGGCCGTGCGACCTCTCCTGAGTTTGCCCTGCGGGCTCCTTGCGGGCTCTGCGGCCAAGCGCTCCCTCCTGCCAGCGGCCGGGCCGCTGCGTGCGCTGCGCCGTCATGGAGAGGGCTCCTCTAGTGGCGTTTCTTGAAACTACGCCGCGCGAGAGCCAATGGGAGCCTCGTTCCTTGAAACTATGACGCGCGCCAGCCAATGGGAGCCTATTTATCAGATTTCTGCTGCAGAAGACAGGCTTCGCTTCACTGGGACAGGGGAAGGTGCCGTTTGGCTCGGCTTCAAGAGCTGGTGACGTCGGTTCGCTCCATGGGACAGTTAATGATTTCGCATTAAAATAAATTAGGGACGATGGCTTGATAGACTTCTAGTCGCACCTGGCAATATCGAATGCGGGCACCAAGCCACTTGGGGCGTTTGTAATATATATAATTAGCTCAGTTTATAACATTATTTTACAATGTATCTACAACGCTGCTAATTGTAGCTTTTTACATGCAAGATATTCAAACATATTTCAATCAGGCAATCAATCAATCAACCAATCATTTATTTCACATCGGAAACTGATGCAGGCTGCAGGGGTAAAAAGTTAGAAGTTTGACTTGACAAGGCCTCTGCAGCCTTACTATTGGCACACGGCGACATACTACATATCAAGTGTTAATATTTAGTCTTCAGACTTTTAACATCAAGCTATAAAATCAAAAAGAACAGTATCAATTAATCACACTATCAAATATAGCAAATAAATAATATATATAAGGCACATGATGATATATTTAGGTACATGACATGACTGTAAAAATAATAATCATATTACCTCAAAGATAACATAAATATGCAAAACACACGACCCCACAATACAAGTGAAATTTTAATGTGAAACAAATTCTAATTGTGCTGAGATCCAGTCTCTCAATATTTGTCAAATTATGCTTCTGAAGTTTATTTAGTACAAGTGGAAGATTATACCTTAGCATTTGGAACCCGTAATTTGAACATTACATTCCGCATTACCAAATAAGCCGGTTCATGCTTGTGACCCAAACATCAGTGAAGGCGATCGAATTCGTCTGTTAATATGGGAAAAATCAGAAGTGTGACGTCAGTAACGCGTCACTTATCATCTCCTCTTTAGGCAGTCTTCTGCACCGCGGAAAACCGGAGTACGTCAGCGATCACAGAGATGTAGTTACGGTTCTCCCTTACCTTTGCTGAGTACGCCTGGCTGAGGTTCACGGCGACAAAATTACCCGTGCCACTTTTCTTCATCTACTTGAAGGAAGCCGATGATGCTTGGGACATCTTGTGTAGTCGCGCTGATGCAGTGGATCCGTAGTCCGCCTTTAATTAGAAGACCTTTCTTCTAGTTTAGATATCTCTGTCAAAATACAGTACCTCTACTGTTCTCTCCGTTACTAGTAGAAAACATCTGACAGGAGAAACAAAAACAAAAAGCAGAGTTCGAAGACACACTGCGCTCCAACCACGGAAAGCTGGTGTACCAGTCGGATTTAAAGGTCCTATAATTGCTGTCATAGTTAGTCACAGGAAAAGACTAGCATGAGCAGTATACTGGCAGATCATAGACTGTTCGAGCTACATCCGGTGTTACTTCTGCCTTCAGTTCAGAAGGGCGGGCTTGGTGTTTTTCGTTCTCAAAGCTGACAATCGGTCCGCCGTCATCGCTGTCACAAAGACTTGGCTCACATTGATATTCCTCGGCGCGTGCAGACGCCGTCCACTCTCGATCAAGCGAACCCTTGGCTTTAGCAAGCTCAGGATCGAGGGCCTTTTCTGAAACTTTCCGCTTCGTTGCTGTTTGTTAGAAGAAATCACTAATCGGACCATTGGATGCCATAGTGAACCCGGGGGAATTCTTCGGGTATTTCTCAATGTTCTTGGCACCAAGTGGTTGGCCCCGTGGTGGAGTTCGGATGGGGCCAGGCACAGGTACGAGGCTGCAGAAGGAATTTCAGGAGCAACGATGTCTCGATGGAAAAGCACGGCTGTGCTCGATTTATATCAGATATCACAAGCAACTTCCCAAATTTTTTTTTTTTTTTTAAGCAGTTCACTTTTTTCAGCTCCATAGGGCATAGTTAGGGTTTAGGTTTTCTTTACTTCCCAAGTTCCATTTCCCAATACCCCGACAAGCACACGTACACACTTTCAGTTTTCCTCCAACCTCCTAATATAAGGTCCCTCGGGAAGACCGTGCTTCAGGGTCAATGGCCACTAATGATGGGAGCTCTGTTACGTCACGACGCGGTGGCGGCGGAGAACCCCCGCAGCGTCTGTGCCACGGCTACACGCTAAATCGAGGGGCCACTGAAGTGTGGTTGACCCTCACGGGGGGCATGACCCGAAGTATTAAATTAGGATTGCGTGGGACATAGCACAAAATATTGATGTCGGACGTAGCTTTAATTTCACTTCACACTGACACATCAAAATCATACTTTTTTTTATTATCCGAAACGATTGAAAACGATGCCGGGGCATTGACCTCAAAATTTGAAACTTGGGAATTCAGTATTTCTGAATTAAAAAAACAATTTCCAAATGCCGAATTTGAAGTTCCCGCGTGATCCGCGCCAGTGCAGTGAGTCAAATTTTGCGGTCTCCTGCAAGTCGACTTTCTTTGGGACCTCCGCCGTTGCCACAGCAACCCGAGGCGAGGAGGAGGTGAGCAGGCGGGATAGAAGCCGGCGCTCTATCCCCGTCTCGCCGATAGCGCCGCCAAGTTTTCCGAGGGAGGATACAAATCCAGGAAGCGACATCACACCGAAATCTGATTTTTGATATATCAAAAAGAGGGGCCGTAGTGCGTTCGCAATTGCGTTAAAAAACAAACTTTACGATTGCCCTTATTAAATGTTATAGAAATGTCGCCTACAAAGCTTCTAAACTTCCTGATTTTTGACGTC